TTTCTATATACATACACTGCTCTGGCATAGTAGCATTTTAGCACAATGGACTCAATGTAACAGTAACAATAGACTTCAAAAATAAACCATAGTTCTTTGAGGAGATCAATAAAATTGATAAACCTACATCCAGGCTGATCAGGAAATAAAGAAGAAGACATAAACTACCAGTATCAGGAATGAGGGTCGTGATCACTACATACTGTATCTATAGCTATTATAAAGATAGGGCGGCCAGGCGTGATGGCTCATGCCTGTAATCCCACCACTTTGGGAGGCTGAGGCAGGCAGATCACCTGAGGTGAGCAGAGTTTGAGACCAGCCGGGCCAACCTGGCAAAACCCCATCTCTACTAAAATTACAAAAATTAGCTGTGCATGGTGGCATGTGCCTGTAGTCCCAGCTACTTGGGAGGCTGAGGCACAAGAATCACTTGAACCCAAGAGGTGGAGGTTGCAATAAGCTGAGATGGCCCCACTGCACTCCAGCCTGGGCAACAGAGTGAGACTCTGTCTAAAAAAAAAAAGGGGGAATATCATGTCATGAACATCTTTATGCCAATATATTTGCCAACTTAGCTGAAATAGAAAAATTCCTTGAAAGACACAGATTACCAAAGCTCACTTGAGGAGTTGATAACCTGAATGGCCCTATATCTATAAAGAAATGGAATTGATGTTAATAAAAACTTCCCACAAAATAACTCCAGATCCAGCTGGCTTCAGTAGTGAAGTCTACCAAACACTTAATGAAGGCATAATGTGATTCAAACTGAAGAAGATTGCTTCTAAGTCACTCTACAAGACCAGCATTACTATGACACTAAAACCAGACAAAGGCATTTCAAGAGAAGAAAACTAAAGACCAATATCTTTCACGAAAATACATGCAAACATTTTAAACAAAATTTCAGTAAATAAAAGTCAACAACATATTAAAAGGATAATACAACATGGGCCAAGTGGGATTTATTCCAGGAATACAGGATTGGTTTAATATTTTTTAAAAATCAGTGAGGCATAGTGGTTCACGCCCGGCATTCCAGCATTCTGGGAGGCTGAGGAAGGAGGATCACTTGAGCCCAGGAGTTCAGGGCCAGCCTGGGCAGCATAATGAGAATGAGTCTCTACAAAAAAATTTTTTAATTAGCCAGGTGTGGTGGTGCATGTCTGTGGTCCCAGCTACCTGGGAGCCTGAGGTGGGAGGATTGCTTGAGCTCAGGAGTTCAAGGCTGCAGTGAGCTATGGTCATGCCACTGCATTCCAACCAGGGCAACAGAGTGAGACCCTGTCTCAAAAACAAAATAAAAATCAATGTAATTTACCATATTAATAAGTTAAAAAAGAAAAACCTTATGAGGCAGAAAAAACATTTGACAAAATCTATCTGTTCTCAATAAATACTCTCAACAAAGTAAGCAAGCATAGAATGGAACTTCTTCAACTGATAAAGGACACCTATGAAAAACCTATAGTTAACATCATATTTAATGATGAAAGACTGAATGTTTTTCCTCAAGTTATTGATTGATTGATTGAGATGGAGTCTCACTCTGCTGCCCAGGCTGGAGGGCAGTGGTACAATCTTGGCTTACTGCAACCTCTGCCTCCCTGGTTCAAGTGATTCTCCTGCCTTGGCCTCCCAAGTAGCTGGGATTACAGGTACCTGCCACTACACCCTATTTTTTAGCACTACGGCTAATTTTTGTATTTTTTTTTTTAGAAGAGACGGGGCTTCACCATGTTGGTCAGACTGGTCTCGAACTCCTAACGTCAAGTGATCTGCCTGTCTTGGCCTCCCAAAGAGTTGGGATTACAGGCATGAGCCACCATGCAGGCCTTCCTCAAGATTAGGAATGAGACAGATACCTACTCTAACTGGCTGCTGCCTTTTTTTTTTTTTTTTTTTTGCTTTTTTTCTTTCCCTGAGACAGGGTCTGACTCTGTTACCCAGGCTGTAGTGCAGCTGTTGGATCACAGCTCACTGCAGCCTCCATCTCCTGAGCTGATGCCATCCATCCGCCTCAGCCTCCCAAGTACCTGTGAGTACAGGCCCGCGCCACCATGCCTGGCTAATTTTTGTAGTTTTTATAGTTATAGGGTCCCACTATGTTGCCCAGGCTGGGTTTGAACTCCTATGCCCAAGAAATCCTCCCATCTTGACCTCCCAAAGTGCTGAGATGACAGGCATGAGCCACTACGCCTGGCCTCTCACCACTTCCATTCAACATTGTACTAGGAGTTCTAGCCAGAGCATTCAGGTAAGAAAAAGAAACCATATAGGTATCTGGCGAGTTTAGCAAGATTGTGGGATGCAAGTTTAATATACAGAAATCAATTGGATTTCTATGCACTAGCAATAAAGAGTGAATAATTGGAAATTTTAAAATACCATTTACAGTACCATAAAAATATGAAATATATTGGGATAAATCTGACAGGATGGGAAAGACCTCTATATTGAAAACTGCAAGATATTGCTGAGACAAAGACAGTCTTTATGAGGGACTATACCTTGTTCATGGATCATAAAACTTAGTATTGTTGAGATTCTTTGCTCCTCAAATTCAGTGCAATGCCAATAAAAATACCAGCAGGCATCTTGTAGAAATTGACAAGCTAATTATAAAATTCTTTTGGAAATACAAAGGACCTAGAGGAGCCGAAAAGAACTTTGAATAAGAACTAAGTTGAAAGCCTAGCATTACCTAATTTCAATAATTATCATCAAGCTATAGTAATCAACAACAGGGTGGTACTGGAATAAGATGGACAAATATAGCAATAGAACCGAATAGCCAAAAATAAGCTCTCATATATATGGATAAGTGATTTTTGACAAAGGTGCCCAGGCAATATGGTAAAGATAAGTCAGCCTTTTAAGGAAATGGTACAGGGCGGGCGCAGTGGCTCACGCCTGTAATCCTAACACTTTGGGAGCCCAAGGCAGGTGGATCACTTGAGGTCAGGAGTTAGAAACCAGCCTGGCCGACATGGTGAAACCCTGTCTCTACTAAAAAAACCACAAATATTAGCCGGGCATTGTAGTGGGCACCTGTTACCCCAGCTACTCAGGAGGCTGAGGCAGGAGAATCGCTTGAACCTGGGAGGCTGAGGTTGCAGCAAGCTGAGATCAGGCCATTGCACTCCAGCATGTGCAACAGAGCGAGACTCCGCCTCAAAAAGAAAAAGAGAGAAAGAGGGAGGGAGGGAGGGAGGGAAGAAAGGAAGGAGGGAGGGAGGGAGGGAAGGAAGGAAGGAAGGGAGAGAGGGAAGGAGGGAGGGAAGGAGGGAGGGAGGGAGGGAAACAGTTGTACATACATATGCAAAAAAAATTGAGGGAGGGAGGGGAAACAGTTGGACATTCATATGCAAAAAAATTAATTTGGATCCCTACCTTGCAAGATATATGAAAACAAAGTGGATCACAAACTTAAATAGATCACAACATGGATCAGAAAACCTAAAACTATAACGTGTCTAAAAGAAAATAGGAGAAAATATTTGGGACCTTTTGCCTAACTGGGTTAGGCAAAGATTACTGGATACAACATCAAAAGCATAAAGTAACAAATTGATAAACTGGACTTCACCAAAATGTAAAACTTTGGTACTTTAAAAGACACTGTTAAAACAATAAAAACACAAGAAACAGACTGGGAGAAACTATTTGCATATTACACATCACATAAGGACTTCAGAATATATAAAGAACTATCAAAACAGGGAAAAAATGCAATTTCTAAAAAATAGACCAAGGATGTGAACATATACTTCAACTAAGAAGATATATGGATGGCAATTATGCACATTAAAAAAACATGTTCATCAAGAGAATGAGAAGACAAACCACAAACTGGGAAAAAATATTCGTAAAAGACATACCTGATAAAGGATTGTTATCCAAAATATACAAAGCTTAAAACACAACACTAAGAAAACAAACCTGATTTAAAAATTGGCAAAAGATCTCAACAGGCATCTCACCCAAGAAGATATACAAATGGCAAAAAAGCATAGGAAACAATGTTCAATATCATATGTATATGTCATTTGAGAACTGCAAATGAAAACCCTGAGATACTACTACACACCTATTAGAATGCAAAAAACTAAAACACTGACAATACCAAATGCTGGGGAAGATGTGGAGCAACGGGAACTCTCATTGCTGGTAGGAATGCAAAAATGCTACAGCCACTTTGGAAGACAGTGTTACTGTCTTCAGTCTTTCTTTTCTTTTCTCTCTTCTTTTCTTTCTTTTTTTTTTGAGATGGAGTCTCGCTGTGTCGCCCAGGCTGGAGTGCACTGGTGGGATCTCTGCTCACTACAAGCTCTGCCTCCCGCGTTCACGCGATTCTCCTGCCTCAGCCTCCCGAGTAGCTGGGACTGCAGGTGCCCACCACCACGCCCGGCTAGTTTTTCGTATTTTTAGTGGAGACGGGGTTTCACCGCGCGTTAGCCACGATGGTCAACCTCGTGACCTCCTGACCTCGTCATCCGCCCACCTCAGCCTCCCAAAGTGCTGGGTTTACAGGCATAAGCCACCGCGCCCGGCCTTCAGTTTCTTATAAAACTAAACATAGGTTGGGGAGTACGGGCTGGTATTAAACCATGTGAACTAGGAGGTGACCAAAGTTGACCTTAGAGTCAACTTAATTTTGCAGGTGAGGGAACAGAGGCCTAAACGACCACCGGCTCCCAGTAAAGCAGATTCGCGGCATACTGTGCTTTGCCCAAATTGGTGTTGTAGACACAGGGGCAGAGGCATGTTTGGAGAAAGGGTTCAGAATTTGGAGTGCGACAGACGTAGGCTGGAACAGAGCTCTGCTACTCGGTGGCTGCGCAGGCTCCCGCACACATCCTCCCGAACGCTGGGCTTCCTCACCAGTCCACAAGCCTGGGTGCGAGGCGTCAACGCGCCGCTGAGTGCGCAGGAGGCCGCGAGGCCGGATGGGCCGCCGCGCCGACGCCCCCTGCCGGCCGGCCCGCGCCCAACGCTCCGCTTGTGGGACGCCCGCGGCCGGATGCCCTCCGTCCGCTCCCTCCTCGGCCTCTTGGCGGCCGCGGCGGTCTGTGGCGCCTTCGCCTTCCTAGGCTACTGTGTTTACCTCGACCGGAAGCGGCGCGGGGACCCCGCCTTCAAGCGCCGCCTGCGGGATAGTGAGTGGGACCGAGGCGGAGGCGCGGCCGGGTCGGGCAGCGCGGGCGGGCTGCCGGCCGGGAGGGCCCCCCTGTGAGAGGCCGGGCCGTGAGTGCCGCAGCTTCTGCCGAGGGGCCCGCGGCTCCCGGGCGGGCAGGACCACTGGGCCCACGCCTCCCAGCCAGCACGTGCTGTGTTGTGTTCGCAGAAAGAAGAGCCAAGCCTCAAAAGCCTGAGGAGCGGGGCACGCAGGTGCAGTGCTTTCGATCCACGCAGGTAGCTCAGTAGACGCAGGTCCGGGCTCGCTGGGTTTCTTGGCTCCTGGCGGGTTTCTTGGCTCCTGGCGGGCTCGGCAGCAAGTAGTTCCCTCAGCCGCCCGCCGCCCGCCTTCCGCGCCAGGGAACAGGCCTGCCCTCGCGCCCCAAGCACCGCCTCAGGCTCAGTCACTCTCCTCTCACAAAAGGGAGGGAAGGAAGGAGGGAGAAGTTGGAGTTGTAAAAGGGCAGCTGTAAAGCAAAACATTGTACAACAGGCACTTCTTTTAATTGGAAGAAGGAAGAGGAGGCTTTTGCCCTTTCAGAGCCGCGCAGGACACTTAGAAACCCAGACTGGCCACGGTCACCTGGCAGTAACTTCTAGATTGTTCTCCCGCAGGGCCTTTCTTGTAGCTCGGAAGCAGAAGGCATCTTCATGTTTTCTAAGTCTGCAGCAGAATTTGATTAGTCCCTTTTTTGTTTTTAAGAGACGGGCCGGGCGCGGTGGTGCACGCCTGTAGTCCCAGCACTTTGGGAGGCGAGGCGGGCATATCACATGAGGTCAGGAGTGCGAGACCAGCCTGGCCAACATGGTGAAAGCCTGTCTCTACTAAAAATACAAAAATTAACCGGGAGTGGTGGTGTGTGCCTGTATCTCACCTACTCGGGAGACTGAGGCAGGAGAATTGCTTGAGTCCAGGAGGCGACAGTTGCAGCCTGGGCGACAGAGCAAGACGCTACCTATAAAAAAAGACACAAGGGTGTTCCTGTGTTGCCCAGGCTGATCTCGAACTCCTGGCCACAAGCAATCCGCAGTGGATTCTGGATGTTTACTTCGCTGAGATTGTTAGCCAGAGCACCTACACGTGTCTGTGTGATCTGAGATTCATTTGTGTGGTGGGCTGTGTCCCAAGGGGCAAGCAAACACATATATGTGTGTGTGTGTGTGTATAGAGAGCACGCACATGCATGTGAACTAGAACATGTGCTCATGTGGGAGAGCAGATGGTACCACTTCTGGCAACATTGAAGCCTCCTCAATTTAAAGGGAGAAGAAATAGATTCTGCCTCTCAACAGGGATGGCAAGGTTCTGAAAGCACTTGTGTGACCGGGAATATTGCGGTAGCCATTTTTGAAACATGCAGTTTTTCCGGAGAAGACTTTGTAGCGGAAGTGACATTGAACTGAGCCTGGAAGGATGATGAATTTGTAGCTTGGTTTCAGGGGAGAGGACACAGGATGGAGGGAACAGCATGTGCATAAAGATGCAAAGTGGAGCATCTGCCAAGCACATTCAGTAAACCAGTTTGGCAAAGGAGTCATACTGAGGAATAGTGGGTGGTAAGGTTGGAAAGCGAAAGTAGGGATTGAATTAAGGAAGGCTTGCTTTGAAGGCCAGGTTAAGGAATTGAGATTCAATGGAGGAATTACTGAAGATTTCTAAGCAGGAATTTTTTAAAAAGAAGGAAAGAAAGGCAGAAGATTACCATTCTTAGATTGATCAGGCAGGAGTGTACTTAATGGACAAGAAGAGAAAACAAGCTATTGCAGCGATTTAGATGAGAGGTAATAAAAATCCTAAACTATGGTGGTGTTAGTGGTAACTGGGAAGAATACAGTTCATGCCGACTGAGTAAAGGGTAATGGAGAGGCAGAGTCAAAGACACTTCTGGGGTTTCAAAATGGAATCACAGTAGAGAATAAAAGCCCATTTGACATAGTTAGCTGGGTAGGGAGTGTCCAAAGAGCTGGACATGGGAGTGGAGCTGCCTTCCCTGACTTGATTGGGACAGAGCCTGTTACAGCTGCATGTCCCTCTTCATTGTCCATGGTTTCACTTGCACATTTATGTAATTATTTAATTAATGCTTTCTGTTTATTACACTAAACTCTGTGAGGGCAGACTTTGTTTTTACTCTCCATTGTTTCCAGTGCCTAGAACGGAGTCTAGTGCGGTAGGTGCCCAGCAAATGTTTGTTGAATATTGTTATTCATTGTAGGCAGAGGGAAATACCTTGTGCAGAGGCAAAGAACATGAAATTGTAGTATTCAAGGAGTGTTATGGCCAGAGAGATAGCTGAGGGTCACTTTAGTGTCTTATTGTGGAGGACTTTGCATGCCAAACTGAAAAGTCAGGACATTTTTCTGTTGTGGTGGATAACTAATGATGGTGACTTTATTTCAGAGAAAAGACACAATTATTTTGGTTTTATTTTTTAAATAAGACAATTCTGGTTCTAGTGTGGAGAAAGGAAGTTGAAGACAGGAAAATCAGTCAATGACAGTTCATATGGGAAATAATGAATGATTTATATTAATATCATATTTTAATTATAATATAATTTAATTATATTCATATTAAGCCATAACTAAGTCATACTATAATTTATTGATATAAATCAATAATTATTAATAATAAATTGTTAATATTATATTATTTCCCATATAGGAAATAAATTATTTCAAGTGAGGAAGCAGCACAAGCAGGATTTTTCAAATGTTCTTTCATGTAATTGTCACAACTCTATTCTAATTTTTTTTTTTTTTTTTTTGACACGGAGTCTCACTCTGTTGCCCAGGCTGGAGTACAGTGGCATGATCACAGCTCACTGCAGCCTCAACCCTTTTGGGTTTAGGTGATTCTCCTACCTCAGTCTCCTAAATAGCTGGGACTACAGGTGCACACCATGTCCAGCTAGTTTTTGTACTTGTACAGTGACGGGTTTCACAACATTGCCCAAGCCGGTCTTGAACTCCTGAGCTCAGGCAGTCTGCTCACCTTGGCATCCTGAAGTGTTGGGATTACAGGAGGGAGCCACTGTGCCTGGCCTCTATTCTCATTTTACAGATGAATAAACCAAAGCAGAGAAAGTCATCTCTTCTCACCTTTTCTAAGGTCTTTCTTCCTCTTCTTCCCAGGACTTTCCCAAAGTATGGTCCATTGCTGCATTAGATTTACCTGGAGCATTTGTTAAAATATGGATTATTTGACCCTGATCCCAGCAATTCTGATCCAGTAGCCCGGGGAATTCTTACTGGCACAGTGACTGTCAGACTTTAGGATCCATAAGAATCACCTGAAGAGCTTGTTTAAAAATGCAAATTCCTGGGCCCTACTCCCAGAGATTGATTCAGTAGGTCTGGGTGGAGCCCAAGAAACTGCAGTTTTAACAGCTCCTTCAGGTGATGCTTTGTGAAACATGGGCCTTGGGTTCTGTACCCTTCCCCCTCTCCCTAGAAGATCCTTGCCTTCTCCAAAAGTGATTTCAAATGTGCTACTCTAGACCTGGTGTCCCAAGTTTCATCTGTCTACCAGACTCTGTCATCTAGACGTTCTATTGGCACCTCACCTTAGTGTGTCCAGAAGTAAGTTCATCATCTCCCCCCTTGCCACTGCACCTACTCCTGTTTCCTTATGATGCTCCTGGTGTCACTAGCCTCCCTGCTATGACCCTGATTCATCTTGTTTAACTGTCAGCTTCATCCATCATAAACAATGACCAATTCTTATTTTCAAATGCTCTATTACATATATATATATATCCATCCCACTTGTCTATTTCTATTGCTTCCCTGCGACTAAAGGCTTTTATTACCTTTTACCCAGGTTATTGAATAGTTTCCTAACTTGTCGCCCTGCCTCTATTCTTATGCTGTTAGAGTAAATTTCTTCTAAATGGCAGCTCTGAGTATGTAATTCCTTGCAGTAGCTCCCTACTCCGCAGATTAAAGACCAGCTTTGCTGGGCGCAGTGGCTCACACCTGTAATCCCAGCACTTTGCAAGGCCGAGGTGGTCTGATCACCTGAGGTTAGAAGTTCAAGACCAGTCTGGCCAACATGGTGAAACCCCATCTCTACTAAAAATACAAAATTGTCGGGCATGGTGGCACATGCCTATAGTCCCAGCTACCCGGGAGGCTGAGACAAGGGAATCGCCTGAACCTGGGAGGCAGAGGTTGCAGTAAGCCAAAAGTTGCAGTGAGCCAGGATCATGCCACTGTACTCCAGCCTGGGCAACAGAGTGAAACTCCATCTCAAAAACAACAAAAACAAAAACAAAAAACAAAACCAGCCTCAGCTTGGTGCTATGCCTTCGATGGGTGCCTATTCCAATTGACTGCCTTATTTTCCTAGGGATTGGAAATAATATATGTAAAGTTCCTAGTTTATAGCTGGCCTTCAATAATGGTTATATTGTTGCTACATTTACCCTATCATGGCCAGCACAGTGGCTCACGCAGGTAATTCCAGCAGTTTGAGAGGCCAAGGCGGGTGGATCACGAGGTCAGGAGTTCGAGACCAGCCTGCCAACATGGTAAAACCCCATCTCTACTAAAAATACAAAAATTAGCTGGGCGTGGTGGTGTGTACCTATAATCCCAACTACTCAGGAGGCTGAGGCAGGAGAATCACTTGAACCCGGGAGGCGGAGGTGGTAGTGAGCCGAGATTGTGCCACTGTACTCCAGCAAACAAACATTTACCCTACCATAATCCAGCTAATTAAGTTCACTTGGTATGTTCCCTGCAATTTTGCGTTGCTTATACTTTCCTCATCAAACTTTCACTGAACCTCTCCACATCTCAAACACTATCTTTTCTGAGAAGCCTTTGACAATTCTCCAACTAGATGTAATGTCTCTGTACTTTGAGCCCCAGAGGACATTGGACTTCTTGTTGTACCTACATGATCCCTTTCCCTTTATTAGACTGTGAGTCCTTGGGGATGGGCACAGGGTTCTTGGTCTCCAATTCCTTCCAGCTTTTCCTGGAGTGTCCTGCCCTTGCCAGTCCTCACTAAACATCTATTGAGTAAAACCTCTGATGTTACTGATTATTAGTATATTTGATGATACAAGCTTAAAAGATGACCCCTGGCTGGGCGCGGTGGCTCATGCCTGTAATCCCAGGACTTTGGGAGGTTGAGGCGGGCAGATTACAAGGTCAGGAGATCAAGACCATCCTGGCTAACAAGGTGAAACCCTGTCTCTACTAAAAATACAAAAATTAGCTGGGCGTGGTGGTGGGTGCCTATAGTCCCAGCTACTTGGGAGGCTGTGGGAGGAGAATGGCCTGACCCCGGGAGGTGGAGCTTGCGGTGAGCCGAGATTGCGCCACTACACTCCAGCCTGGGCAAGAGAGTAAGACTCTGTCTCAAAAAAAAAAAAAGGTGACCCCTTTCCAGGCACATTGCATTTTAAAAAGAAAATTCTTGGGGGAAAACAAAAACAAAAACCTTACAGATTTGAAACACTGGAGCTGAAGTAAATGGCAGTGGAGTTGATATTTCGGGCTAGGGTTTGCTCAGTGTACCTTGAAAGACTAGCCCTAGATGTAGTACCAATGATAATGCCATCTTGTGGCCATGGTAGCCTTCATGAACCAACCGCAGTAAACCAAAGCATCCTTCTGAACACTCACTCCCCTGCCAACCCCCCACCAGGTCCTTTGTCCCTTTCCTTTTGAGGGTGTGAGTACAGAAGGCTTAGCATAGTTTCTTGTTTCCCCTAATAGAGAATTACTGTTGCATGAACAGGTTTCACTACTAAAAAGACCAAAATGACCTTGTAAGCCAGAGAAATCAATTGCAACCAAATCAACAGGCACTGTTAATATCCCGGGCAAGAAAATAATTTTGCAACATGCAAAACTACCTTTGTTATATTAATTACAGTAGGATTTCTGCTATATGTGGGTGGGTAAAATATGGGATGAGAGTTACTTATTATAAGCATCTCAACTTAACAAATATGTCATGTTTTTTTAAATCACTTAAAATAATCCCATTTTAGAAAATTGGTTTAAATATTATAAAGAACAACTACATTTGTCATAACTTTAGATTTAGAGACTAGGTTCAAGATGTCATTTTTTTTTTCTTCCTTTTTTTTTGTGACAGAGTTTCACTCTTGTTGTCCAGGCTAGAGTGCAACGGTGTGATCTCAGCCAATTGCAACCTCCGCCTCCCAGGTTCAAGCGATTCTCCTGCCTGCGCCACTACGACTGCTAATTTTGTATTTTCAGTAGAGACGGGGTTTCTCCATGTTGGTCAGGCTGTTCTCGAACTCCCGACCCCAGGTGATCCACCCGCCTTGGCCTCCCATAGTGCTGGGATTATAGGCGTGAGCCACCGCATCCAGCCCAAGATGTCCTTTCTAAATAAAAAATAATTTGATCAGTAACCATATACCTTACATTCATTACTCATTGTTAAATATTTTATGAATATTTTAGTTGTGGGATCCAGCGAAGAATAAAAAATTGCAAGAACTTTTCTTGCAAGAGGTACGGATGGGAGAACTTTGTTTATCTAGAGGTAAGAATGTAAATGTTCTTTTGTGAGTTACTTACGACAGTTTATTCTTAAGAAATATTTATTGATTAGTATTTGTATAACTAGCTGGATGTGTTAGCCAACTTCCCTCACTAAAGAAAAACTATCCCAGCATGTTCACTTCATCACACTGTACTCTTGCATTATGTTAGAGTTTAGTGTTCAAGTTGCAGACTTGGAAGTGGGCAAACAGAGTAGCAAAGCCAAATACAAAAATACCTCATTTATGGTTATATAAAATTCTAAGTCAGTGAGTTTTCCAAGTGACTAAATGTTAAGAATAAAAACTTTTTGCCAGGTGTGGTGGCTCATACCGGTAATCCCAACACTTTGGGAGGCCAAGGCAAGAGGATTGCTTAAGGCCAACAGTTTGAGAACAGCCTGGGCAACAAAGCAAGACCCTGTCTCTACAAAAAACTTCAAAAATTGGTTGGGTACCATGGCATGTGCCTGTAGTCCCAGCTACTCAGGAGGCTGAGGTGAGAGGATCACTTGAGCCCAGGAGTTTGAGGTTGCAGTGAGCCATCATCTTGCCACTATACTCCAGCCTGGGAGACAGAGACTCTGTCTCAAGAAAACAAACAAAACAACTTTTAAAAATTCTAACTGCTTTATAAAAATGTTCCTGCTTTCTTAGAATATTCTTAATACTTATTTGCTTTGTTGATAAATAAATTCCCTATGAATGTCCATTCTTTTACTGTGTTTAATGGAGTGATGCCTGTCGGGGCTATCTTACACTTAATGGTCATATTTTGAGTTATAATTTATTCCTACCTAATTCCAGATGGATTTGAGAAAACTTCATAATATTGTTAGGCAAAATGATGGTAGATAATATTATTATTGTATAAATACTATAATCATAATGTCCTTATTCTGGTGTTAAACCCTGGAAAGGAAAATTTGTCTTGAGGCTTCTTAATTTAAGAAGTAACTGATGTTGCTGGATAAATCAGCATTACAAAACCCATCAGTACAATGTATATATATTTTTTAAGTGTTGCAAACTCCCTTGCATATCACAGTGCCTGTACCTGTTTTTGCCTCTGTTTTTTTTTTTTTCCAAAAGGTTTTGTTTTTCAATCTGTAAGCAGCCTCCTCCAGGATTTATAAAAACAAAGAGGAAGTCAAAATCCTAGGCAACTCACAGCAATTGCCAAGATTTTTATTCAGTGTCTTAAAACCATTATAAAGGTTTTGAGAAATGAAAAAGTTGCAGGCATTCAAAATCATTGCACATTAATCACTATAATTTGTATTTTAGTATTTTATTTAGTATTGATCTTTGCTTTCAGATGGAGTAATTTTTAAAATAGATTAAAAATACCTGCTAAAAATTAATGATTTTTGCTTTTAGATGGAGTAATTTTTGAAATGGACTAAAAATACCTGCTAAATATTGATGACAAAATGTACAGTTAGAACTGACTTAAATGATATAAACAGAAGTGACTTTACATAAACCAGTGAAGCTTATGTCTAAAGACCTTTATATGCATAGGCCTCTAAGGCCCCCTAGCAATTTTTTTTTTTTCTTTTGAGATGGAGTTTCACTCTTGTTGCCCAAGCTGGAATGCAATGGCGCAATCTCAGCCCATTGCAACCTCTGCCTTTCAGGTTCAAGCGATTCTCCTGCCTCAGCCTCCCAAGTCGCTGGGATTATAGGAATACACCACCACACCCAGCTAATTTTGTATTCTTAGTAGACACAGGGTTTCACCATGTGGGTCAGGCTGGTCTCAAACTCCTGACCTCAAGTGATCTAACTGCCTTGGCCTCCCAAAGTGCTGGGATTACAAGCATGAGCCACCGTGCCCAGCCACCCCTAGTAATTTTGTACTCATAATTTTATATTCTTTTTTGTAAACAAGGGCCCTCAAATTGTGGGAAAGAAAGTTCTGAATTACAAGTCAAAAGAAAAAAGATAACATATTTTATCACATTTTATTCCTATTCACTTTATGCTTAAGAGCTATGATGTAATGTTCAATTAGATTTAGAAGTGATCTGAACACATGTTGCAAACTTGGGTTTTTAAATTTTTAACTGCTATTTAATAGCTTTTTTATTTTGGGGGGACAGTGTCTCACTCTGTCACCCAAGCTGGAGTGCAGTGGTGTGATCTTGGCTCAGCCTTCTGGGTTCAAGCAATTCTCATGTCTCAGCCTCCCAAGTAGCTGGGATTATATAAGTGTGTGCCACCATGCCTGGCTAATTTTTCCATTTTTGGTAGAGACTGGGTTTTGCCATGTTGGCCAGGCCGGTCTCGAACTGGCGGCAAGTGATCCGCCCTCCTCAGCCTCCCAAAGTGTTGGGATTACAGGCGTGAGCCGTCGCGCCCAGCCCCCTAATAGCTCTTTACAGAAGTTTTATACTTCCATATTTTACATACACTGCAGTTCTCGGTCTTGGCTGCTTATTCTTTAATTCTTCATCAAACCCCAAACCAATTAAATCAGAATCTATGGGGCTGGAACCCAGATGTCAACATTTTTTTTTTAAATCTCCCTAGGTTTCTAAAACATTGAGAACCAACCAGTACAGTATTCTATCCAATGTGGCAATTTTTCACCCAGTTTTCTGCAGTCTTCTTAACTTTCTCCACTCTCATTTGCCATCACCCACAATTTTCATCATTTTGCTGTCAGGTAAAATATAGTTCTGTAGCCATCTCAATGGTGGCTATGTCTGTATGAGACCATAGGGCCAATAATTTTGATTGAAATTTCTGAGGAGCTGGTATGATTTAATTTATTGGTTGGTTAAATTATTTGACCAAATTGATTGTTTTGTATTGTTAGCACCACCAATCTTGAGAACAGGCACTATTATATCTTATGTTGAAAATGTAAAATTAATGTATTTAAGTCAGGACATATCCCTGTTGTTTTTTAGTTTAAGCTTAATATGAATCTTTGGAAAGCATTTTTTTCTGTCATGCACTCTTCTCTTCATATGACCATGTATTTCAACCAATAAATGGAAAACTAGTTTCAGCTAATAAAAATCTATTATTATACTTACTTTTAGGGCCATATTTTATTTTCTACCTAGTTATATTAAGTATGTCAAGATTTCAACTCCTGTGATTACCGAATACCTGAAGAGAGGCAGTACTCTAGTCTCAAGGGTCAAAAAATTAGATTATATTCCTAATGCTGACATTAATCAGCATTGAAACTATACATCATTTCACTGATCTTTGCCTCAGTTTCCTTAAAGTAAAACAAGGGAGACTAAAGTCATTCCATGTTCTAACTTAAACAGAAATGCTATGATTTTCACTCTTCACATATTTTCATTCTTTGTTACTTCAAAGCCAGTTATCCTAAAACTCATTTTAAAACTGTGCTTAAAAATCAGAGTTCATAGCCGGGCGCGGTGGCTCAAGCCTGTAATCCCAGCACTTTGGGAGGCTGAGATGGGCGGATCACAAGGTCAGGAGATCGAGACCATCCTGGCTAACACGGTGAAACCCCGTCTCTACTAAAAAATACAAAAAACTAGCCGGGCGAGGTGGCGGGCGCCTGTGGTCCCAGCTACTCCGGAGGCTGAGGCAGGAGAATGGCGTAAACCTGGGAGGCGGAGCTTGCAGTGAGCTGAGATCCGGCCACTGCACTCCAGCCTGGGCGACAGAGCCAGACTCAGTCTCAAAAAAAAAAAAAAAAAAAAAAATCAGAGTTCATAAATCTCTCATTTTTTTCCTTGGGGTATGTAATTCATGTTACGCTAAATCTTGTTTCAACTCTTTGATAGTGAAATCTTTTTTTTTTTAAGTTCTATTTAGCTGGAACATGTTTAATCTATCCTATTTTATCAATCACACATGTAAAGATAACCTTCAGATATTAATAAAAGCAGGCAACTGCTTACAAAAAACCTCAGTATCCTCTTCCCTCCATACCCAAATTATAGAACACGAGCATTTCCAATGCAAAAGTGCACTTCTAAACAGTAAGAGTATACTTGCTGTAATTTGGCTCAAAATTATTAATATTGCAGCTTCACCACTAAGAAACTCAACGTCTTCCCTCATATTTGTACTGTACTCTTCACAAGACTTGTCTAAGTAGTCTTTAGTTGGATATGCTTTTAATTTTTAATGCTTGTTGCTTTCTTGGATTTGTAGAATGTCTGTTTAATTTTTAATGCTTGTTGCTTTCTTGGATTTGTAGAATGTCTGTTTTAAAGAACTTTAAAATTTTGCTCAAAACTTGTCATTCTGTTTCAGGAGAGCATAGAATGGGGGTTCGACACCTCAGCAATGCCCTTTTAGTGTGTGGGCAACCACAGGAACTTCTGAAGGTTTTCAAACACACACTCCCTCCCAAGGTATTTGAGATGCTGTTGCACAAAATTCCCCTTATTTGCCAGGTGAGCACATATTTAATTATCTTTGTGAAATGTACACAGTAAATAGCTATGTTATGCTTGACTACACAGAAATATCAAAGTATGTGTGTGAATTGCCCAGAATCTTAAATAAGTGAAATCTCTGACTTTTTGGCTGCTTTAACATGAAGCAAGCCTGTTCTTTCAGGTTCCTTTGATTATAATAAATTGTATATTTTCTTGAGTATTATCTGTATTTCAACACTTCAGTTTTAAAGCAGAACAATACTTCTACTTCCATTAACATACAAAACATAAAAATCGCTTTGGTAAATTTAAACATACAGGCTAATTAGCATTCTCTTAAATATAGGTTTAAAATGGTATCGAATGAAATCCATTCATAAGCCAGTTGATTAGTAAGTTTTAGTCCACTTGCATTTTACTAAACTACTTGGTATACATATGCATCAACTAGAATTTCCTGCAAATGCTTGGATTCATTTCAGGATTCATTAGCCATAAGACATTACTTTGGTTCACTTTTTATCATTGGCAAGCCTTGGAATCTATCATATTTAACTGTCAGCTTTTGAAAAAAACACAAACATGAACTCCATTACAGTGTAACATTCAACTCTTAAACATTCCCAAACTAGGGCAGATGGGATGGTTTCCTGAAGATATATGAAAATGTAGGTAAGATAAGAATATGTGGCCGGGCACAGTGGCTCATGCCTGTAATCCTAGCACTTTGGGAGGCTGAGGTGGGCGGATCACTGGAGGTCAGGAGTTTGACACCAGCCTGACCAACATGGTGAAACCCCATCTCTACTAAAAATACAAAAATTAGCCAGGCATGGTGGCACACACCTGTAATCCCAGTTACTTGGGAGGCTGAGGCAGGAGAATTGCTTGAACCTGGGAGGTGGAGGTTGCAGTAAGCCAAGATCGCACCATTGCACTCCATCCTGGGTGACGAAAGCAAAACTCCATCTCAAAAAAAAAAAAAAAAGGAATAATGCCCACCCTGACACAAGGGAGGCAAGAAAAGGACCGTGCATTGAAATGATTAGCAAGTAACTGTTTTATGTATTCACCAGCAATTTGAGGCAGACGTGAATGAACAGGAATGCTTGGAGGATGATCCTGATTGAAAAACATTTCAACGTATCCACAGTCCAGTGAGAATACTATGGTACCATACAGTATAAACAACTACTCAGTGATATTTCCATTTATTTTACTTTTAGTAATAAAAATTTGTCTATCTCATACATGATTGAACACATAAGTTGCTTTAAAATTAACAGTCACAATTGAAGAAACAATGGTTTATTTTTCTAATCAAGTGACCAAGTTGCTGAATCATAAGGCCTCAACAAATGTTGCATCTTATTATTTCATTGAACAATAAGACCTTCTAGTTTGATTATTCCTGGTAAATAGCAATTTTGTTTCTCCAGTGGTTTCCATTTGCCAAAGTCATGACAGATGGTTTAACATTGTGGCTACTGCTTTCAGGGGATTCTATCAGATGAGTCCTCATTTCCAATAAAGCAGCTGTTGGCAATCTTTCATCAAAAGTTCATCCATCAGGACTTCTCTATCGTGGTTGGCCAAGGAGTCCTGCTTTGGCTGCCAGGGCTTCATTCTGCTGAATATGATATTCCTGAAATCTCATGGATATTCTTTGTGTCATTTTTAAATATTTCTGTAAGCAATGTTCTGAACAGGTGGTCTAGGAATGAAAAGGGAAGATCCAAGAGGCAACACAAAAATATGAATTTTTAAAAATGCATGTATTCCAAAAGAACAGTGTGTAGTTTGCTTTTCTATATCTGAGAATTAAATAGTATTAATTGGCAGCAACTGACCATAGCTTTTAATTGATACTTTCATCCACTTACAAGCATTAATATATACCGAATGCCTGCCAGTTTGTAGTCACTAAGAGCAATGGTAAATCTCTGCTTTCAAGAAGCTTCTGGACTAGATTTTCTGCAAGTGTATTAAGTGAAAGCCCACATTCCTGTCCTCTTGTTTCGATTGTTAAAATGTAGACCCAGTAGTAAGTTTGTTCCTTTTTAATGAGAAACAACATTCTTAATTCTCGACCTTTTACTTTTTATTTATTTAATTAATTAATTTATTTTTTGAGATGGAGTCTCGCTCTGTCACCCAGGCTGGAGTGCAGCAGCGTGATCTCGGCTCACTGCAAGCTCTGCCTCCTGGGTTCAGACCATTCTCCTGCCTCAGCCTCCCAAGTAGCTGGGACTACAGGTGCCTGCCACCATGCCTGGCTAATTTTTTGTATTTTTAGTAGGGACGGGGTTTCACTGTGTTAGCCAGGATGGTCTCGATCTGCTGACCTCGTGATCCGCCCGTCTCGGCCTCCCAAAGTGCTGGGATTACAGGCATGAGCCACTGTGCCTGGCCTATTTATTTTTTTGAGACAGGTTCTCTCTCTGTTGCCCAGGGTGGAGTGCTGTGGCTTACTGCGGCCTCAACCTCCTGGGCTTAAGTTATCCTCCTACCTTAGTCCCTGGAGTAGCTGAGACCACAGGCACACACCACCATGCCTGGCTAGTATTTCATTTTATTTTTTAGTAGAGACGAGGACTGGTTTTTTTGTTTTTGTTTTTGTTGACAGGGTCTTGCTCTGTCGCCCAGGCTAGAGTGCAGTGGTGCAATCACAGCTCACTGCAGCCTCTGCCTCCCAGGCTCAGGTGACCCTCTCACCTCAGCTCCCGAGTAGCTGGGACCACAGGCATGTGCCAACATGTCCAGCTAATTTTTTTTTTTTTTTTTTTTGTATTTTTTGTAAAGACAGCGTTTCACCATGTTGCTGAGGCTGGTTTCGAACTCCTGGGTTCAAGTGATCCACCTGCCTTGGCCTCCCAAAGTGCTGGGAGTTCAAAGTTACAGGGAGCTATGATTATGCCATTGCACTCCAGCCTGGGTGACAGAGCAAGACCCTGTCTTAGAAAAAAAAAGTTAAGACTTCTAATAGGATTAGGTTTTCAATATGAGCCATCAAAGTCAAGCTTTGCTTTTTCCAAAGCCAACCAGAATTCCCAGGGCCATACAGAAAGGCTGTGCCAAGTTTCTCTAGGTAGGCCATCTTGACTGAAAGCTAATTAGTAAGAATCTTTGTTGTGAAACAGTAACTCAGCAGCTGCAGCCATCTTCTCTAAAATGGTCTGACTTGGTACAATGTAACTATCATATTAAATTTGGCACTGTTAAACTCAATGCCATGGTTCAGTGGCTGCTTCAGTTCTTCTAAGCAATGGAACATAAAAGGTAGTCTAAATTCCTGTAATAAGTAGGAACAAGTGAAATGCTACTTAGAGTGTTTATGACAGGCCTGGAGAATTTCAGTGAGTAACACTTTTCATACCTCTTCAGGTTTTACTTCTCTTGTTGTGAAGTCTTTAACACAGTCCAAAAAGCAGGTCTCTGTAAGTTTATTGTAGGTCCCCAGAAATTCCTTAAACTACAAACAAACCAGAATGTTCTTTACTATTTGGTTTTTAAAACAAAGAGGCTTTGAAGCTTCAATTACTAGTATTTTATATTTAGACAAAATATACTATAACACTTGAAATCATAGTTATGCTACTTAAATGGGTACAATATGATCTACAGAACAGTTTTATTTTCTAGTTGAATATTTAATTTTTTCTTGATTATCAGTCAAATGAAAAATACATATGCTTGCCTGGGCGCGGTGGCTCATGCCTGTAATCTCAGCACTTTGGGAGGCTGAGGTGGGCAGATTACCTGAGGTCAGGAGTTTGAGACCAGCCTGGCCAACATGGTGAAACCCCGTCTCTAATAAAAATACAAAAATTAGCTGGGCGTGGTGGCATATGCCTGTAATCCCAGCTACTCGGGAGGCTAAGGCAGGAGAATTGCTTGGGCTCAGGAGATGGAGGTTGCCATGAGCCAAGATTGTGCCACTGCACTCCAGCCTGGCCGACAGAGCAAGACTGTCTCAAAAAAAAAAAAAAAAAAACCAAAAAAAAAAAGAAAAGAAGAAGAAAAATACACACACTTTATAACATTTAATATCCATTCTGGAAATGAAATAGAAACAATTGTTTTGTGAAATCACTGACTGACATGTTTTTGTTTTTGTTTTTTTGAGATGGAGTCTTGCTCTGTTGCCCAGGCTGGAGTGCAATGGCGCAATCTCGGCTCACTGCAGCGTCTGCCTCCTGGGTCAAGCAATTCCCGTGCCTCAGCCTCCCAAGTATGCTGCGACTAGAGGTGTGTGCCAGCATGCCCAGCTAATTTTTGTATTTTTAGGAGATGGGAGTTTCACCACGTTGGCCAGGCTGGTCTTGCCTGACTTCAAGTGATCCACCCATTGGGGCCTCCCAACGTGCTGGGATTACAGATGTGAGCCACTGCACCCAACCTGACACAGTGGCATTAATAGCATCTTACATTTTTTTGCAAAATATTTTCCCCTTATTAAGAATACCTTACCTGTTTTATCTGATCAGATTCTGGTATTTGTGCAGCCATATTCTTCTGGTACCTTTATTAGTCACCTAATTTAAAAATTCAAAAAAAAGTTTGTCAATCTATAAACAGATGTTTTTAGTCTAACTGAAGTTAGGGAATCACTGCTCATATTTTATAAATCTGTGTATGTAACTGTATGGCACCCCCAATTTCTCAGATCATTAATGACCATAGAACCTTACAGTTGAGAATTAGATTTTTTTTTTTTGAGACAGAGTCTCACTCTGTCACCAGGCTGGAGCACAGTGGCATGATCTCGGCTCACTGCAACCTCCACCTCCGGGTTCAAGCAATTCTCCTGCCTCAGCCTCCCAAGTAGCTGGGACTACAGGTGCACACCACCACATCCAGCTAATTTTTGTATTTTTAGTAGAGATGGGGTTTCACCCATGTTGGCCAGGATGGTGTCGATCTCTTAACCTCGTGATCCTGCCCGCCTCGGCTTCCCAAAGTGCTGGGATTACAGGCGTGAGCCACTGCGCCCGGCCAGAGAATTATATTTTCTAATGCTAGTTTGGGACTCAAAGGCCCTGTCTCTCGAAATCTCCAATTTTAAGATAGTTTGCTCTGCTACCTTGCTAAGCTACTTGTTTAAAGCCCCATTCCTAGGAGGATTATAAAGGAAACCAAGATGGTGAGGTTTGGGCTTAAAAAAAACAATAAAAAAAGCTGGGAGTGGTGGCTCACGCCTGTAATCCCAGCACTTTGGGAGGCCGAGGCGAGTGGATCACTTGAGATCAGGAGTTCAAAACCAGCCTGGCCAACACAGTGAAACCCTAGCTCTACTAAAAATACAAAAATTGGCCAGACGTGATGGCATATGCCTGTGGTCCCAGCTACTCGGGAAGCTGAGGCAGGAGAATCACTTGAACTCAGAATGTTGAGGTTACAGTGAGCCGAGATCACGCCACTGCAATAGAGCCTGGGTGATAAAGTAGGACTCCATCTCAAATAGTAATAATAATAATAAAGAAAAATAAAGCAAATCGAGATTTTTGCTGTTTTCATAAAATTACTTAACTATTCCACTAGTCACCAATTTGCTTATTTTAAATTTTTTACTATTATACTTAATCGAATATATCAAAAATATCAAAAATTTTCACATTTCAACATGCAATCAACATAAAAAGTATTAATAAGACATTTTACATTCCTTTCCTTGCAGTAAGTCTTTGATTTTGGTGAGCATTTTACACTTATACCACATCTCAATTTGAATGCTAAATTTTCATCACAAATACTTGGCCTATATTTAGGTTTAATAAAATCTATAGTTGAAAAAGTGGATTCACGTATCTGAGCCACTCCAAATACACTTAAAATTAGTTGCTAATTTAACTCTGACCCTTACTACTAATGATCCTTTTACAATATAAATACAAACGTTCTATTAATAGTTAACAAACACCAGTTAACAAACACCATTTGCTTAGAAATAGACAACCCTCATGAAAGATATTCAGAGTTTTAAAAGACAGTTATAGGAATTATACATTCTACTACACATTCTATAGTTCAGAAAGGGCAATCACAGAGACTAATCAGAAACTTCTAATTATAATCTAACCTAGCGGCAACAGGGAAGAGAAGACAAGTAAGTAAAAAAGCCTTTCTGAATTACTGAGATTTTCACATATCCTAAATGTAGGACTTAGGTTCAGTTAATCTAGATGTAAGAATGTGTATCACATTATTTATTTACTATATCCTGGCTAGTTCTAAAAAGGTTGAGCGTTTCATATAAAAGATTTGTACAGGCTGGACGTGGTGGCTCACGCCTATAATCCCAGCACTTTGGGAGGCTGAGGCAGGCAGATCAAGGTCAGGAGATTGAGACCATCCTGGCTAACACAGTGAAACCCCATCTTTACTAAAAATACAAAAAATTAGCTGGGAGTGGTGGCGGGCGCCTGTAGTCCCAGCTACTTGGGAGGCTGAGGCAGGAGAATGGCATGAACCCGGGAGGCAGAGCTTGCAGTGAGCTGAGACCGCACCACTGCACTCCAGCCTGGGCAACAGAACTAGACTCCGTCTTAAAAAAAAAAAAAAGGCCGGGCGCGGTGGCTCACGCCTGTAATCCCAGCACTTTGGGAGGCCGAGGCGGGCGGATCACAAGGTCAGGAGATCGAGACCACGGTGAAACCCCGTCTCTACTAAAAATACAAAAAATTAGCCGGGCGCGGTGGCGGGCGCCTGTAGTCCCAGCTACTCAGGAGGCTGAGGCAGGAGAATGGCGTAAACCCAGGAGGCGGAGCTTGCAGTGAGCCGGGATCGCGCCACTGCACTCCAGCCTGGGCGACAGAGCGAGACTCCGTCTCAAAAACAAAAACAAAAACAAAAACAAAACAAAAAAAATATTTGTATAAAATAAAGCTGTTTAAAATAGAAATTAAACAGCATGTAAAAGGAAAACACGAATCATGTACACTATAGACTAACATAAATGCTACACATTTTATTTAGTTCAGAGTTTTCTGATAACCAAGACAAAAATGATAAACTGGATGTGCAAATCTTTATTAGCTTATCAATTATTAAAGTCTGTGAAACACATAAAATTTTTATGAAGCTTTGTTGAAACTAGTAGTAAATTCAAGTTTAGGACAAAGTGTATGCCACCATCATGAAAAAAATTAACATTCAGCTTTTGATTAACACATACAATCAACAGTAATTCCATTCCACCAGTCTCAATCATACCTATACTAGCCTCCTTTTTGCATTTATTCTTCCCTCCTTTTTTTTCCTTGTCCTATAAAATCACAGTAACTAGGCTCACGCTTGTAATCCCAGCACTTTGGGAGGCTGGGGCAGGTGGATCACCTGAGGTCAAGAGTTGGAGACAAGCCTAGACAGCATAGTGAAACCCCATCTCTACTAAAAATACAAAAATTAGCCGGGCGTGGTGGCTCATGCCTGTAATCCCAGCTACTCAGGAGGCTGAGGCAGGAGAACTGCTTGAGCCCTTGGGTGGAGGTTGCAGTGAGCCGAGATTGCAGCACTGCACTCCAGCCTGCGCCACATAGTGAGACTCTGTCTCAAAAAAAAAAAAAAAAAATCACGATAACTACTGACATTTAAAAAAATGTGATTTCCTTTGTACGCACTGAAAAGCCTCCCCACTCCCCAGTGAGTGTCAGTGGAAACCACACAGGGAGCCTGGTTTCCGCCCAAGTTGGCAGTAATGAGGTGCCCATCTCCATCTACTCTGGAGTGGTATCAAAGGAGGCCTACTTGACATTCAGGACTTGCATTACTGCCTCATGACAATTAGGCCACATGCCCTACTAATGTCAGTGGAGGCCACATGGGGAGAGTAATGAAAATGGAAGCCTGGTGAGGAGCCAGAATGCCCACTCTACCCAGCAGTAACAAGAAACTCCCTGCCCCTCCCCTCAAGTGTCAGAGTGAGGAACATGAATTTCTACTTCCATCTGGCAGTAATGAAGTGGTACCTCCCACCACTTCCCCTCATAAAGCATTGTCAAAAGGAGCCAGATAAAAGGATTAAATAAAATCTAGAGCCTCATAACATGATATGCAAGATGTCCAGGCTGCAATATATTAAAAAATCACTCATCATACCAAGAACTAGGAAGATCTCAAACTGAATTAAAAAAAGACAATCCGCAGATGCTCAACATTGAGGAACATGTGTTAGGATTATCTGACAAAGATTTTTAAACAGGACCTTGTCAATACTTCAGTGAGCAATTATGAACACGCTTGAAACAAATGAAAAAATAGAAGGTCTCAGCAAAGAAATAGAAATATCAAGACCCAAATGGAAAGTTTAAGAAGTGAAAAATACAATAACCAAAATAAACTAAATGAATAAAATCAATAGGAGAATGGAGGGGACAGAGGAATCAGAGAATTGGAAGCCAGAAAATAGAATTCTTCAATCCCGCCAGGTGCTGTGGCTCACGCCTGTAATCCCAGCACTTTGGGAGGCTGAGGTGGGTGGATAATCTGAGGTCAGGAGTTCAAGACCAGCCTGGCCAACACGGTGAAACCCCATCTCTACTAAAAATTCAAAAAAATTAGCTGGGCGTGGTGGCGTGTGCCTGTAATCCCAGCTACTCAGGAGGCGAAAGCAGAATTGCTTGAACCCAGGAGGGGTTGTTTGTAATATTCCTGTATCCTTTTGATATCTGTGAAACCTGTAATAATGTACACCATTTCATTCCTGATAGTGTAATTTGTAACTTCTCTCTTGCTAGTAAGTTTGTTAGTTTTATTAATCTTTTCAAAGAACCAGCTCTTTTTTTCTCTTTTCATTTAAATTGATTTTTGCTCTTTATTTCCTTCATTGGGTTCATTTTGCTCTTCTTTTTTAGGTGCTTGAGGTAGGAGGAGCTTGGATTACTGATTTAAGACCCTTCTTCCTTTTCCTTCCCTTTCCCTTTCCCTTCCCTTTTCCTTTTCCTTCCCTTCCCTTTCCCTTTCCCTTCCCTTCCCTTTCCCTTCTATAGTTCACATCAAAAAAGAACACAGATTTGATTTCCTTCCTGGAATGCCAGAATTTGTTGTTCTTTTTTAAAAAAATTCCATCCTTGTATTTCTTTGGGTTATCAACCAGAGGTCAGAGAGACAAAGTATGAAATTTTTTTTTTTTTTTTTTGAGATGGAGTTTTCACTCTTGTTGCCCAGGCTGGAGTGCAATGGCACAATCTCAGCTCACTGCAACCTCCACCTCCCAGGTTCAAGCGATTCTCCTGCCTCAGCCTCCCAAGCAGTTGGGATCACAGGCATGCGCCACCACACCTGGCTAATTTTGTATTTTTAGTAGAGACGGGGGTTTCTCCATGTTGATCAGGCTGGTCTCGAACTCCCGACCTCAGGTGATCCTCCTGCCTTGGCTTCCCAAAGTGCTGGGATTACAGGCATGAGCCACCATGCCTGGCCGAAAGTGTGAAATCTTTAAATGTTCTCTAAGTTTCAGACTGGAACCCTGTGTTGCCTCTACACACATCTTGTCCTTATTATACACCTCATGGTGACAAATGATGGTTGTTACTAAAAAATCTGAAAAGATATGTATGAGGAATGCCCAAGTGCTTTTGGTATGGATCTTCTTTATTCATTAGATAATGTATTAATATATATTACTTAAACAGTGTATGTTTCCTCTTTTCAGTGAAATAAAGTTTATCATACTATAAAAGTAATATATTTATTGAGAATTTGAAAAACAAAAGATAAATAGTTCTACCATTCACAGACCACTATGTTAACATTATGATTTATTTTCTTTAGAATCACTCAATTGTGTATTTTATTTATTTTTGAGATTTATTTATTTATTTATTTATTTTTGAGACAAGAGTCTCACTCTGTGACCCAGGCTGGAGTGCAGTGGCGCAATCTCAGCTCACTATATCTTCTGCCTCCTGAGTAGCTGGGATTACAGGCATGCACTACCACACCTGGCTAATTTTTGTTTAGTAGAGACAGGGTTTCACCATGTTGGCCAGGTTGGTCTTGAACTCTCGACCTTAGGTCATCCGCCCACCTCAGCCTCCCAAAGTGCTGGGATTACAGGCATAAGCCACCGCGCCCAGACCAATTTCATTTTTGTTGTTGTTGTTGTTTTGTTTTTTCCAGACCTACAGTTGAACTCAAGAGCTAATAATCAGCAGTTTTCTTATGTCTGCTTAAATCGCTAAAGCTATCCTCTGTAGTCACCAGTATCTATCAAGATTACGGTATAGGCCAGGCACAGTGGCTCACACCTGTAATCCCAGCACATTGGGAGGCTGAGGCGGGTGGATCATTTGAGGTCAGGAGTTCGAGACCAGCCTGGTCAACATGGTGAAACCCCGTCTCTACTAAAAATACAAAAGTTAGCTGGGCATAGTGGTGGGCGCCTGTAGTCCCAGCTACTTGGGAGGCTGAGGCAGAATTGCTTGAACCTGGGAGGCAGAGGCTGCAGTGAGCCAAGATTGTGCCATTGCACTCCAGCCTGGGTGACAGAGCAAGACTCTGTCTCAAAAAAAAAAAAAAAAAAAAGATTATGGTATACATAATTGTAGGCAACTGGTTCAGAGAAAATACTGGAGATGACTGAGTAAATAAATGATTTTCAGAGTTACTTGCTAATTTGAGGTCTTCTAAATCTTTCACTATTCACTTTGCAGTTATTTAATAGTAAGCTTAGACTGACAAATTCCACCAGCCACATAAACCACCTGATGGTAAGAACAGATAGCAGTAATGTGGTTGTCCTTTTATTTGATCCTAGTTTCCAGATATTACAGCAAATGTTTGCTGTTATAGCAGCAAAGACCCATCAGGGGTTACCTTCTGATTATATCCCTGAAACCTGGAGGAGAGAAGAAAGAAGCGAATTCAAGAATCACTGGCTTAGATCTCGGGAATGACTACAGTGATGCTGTTATTCTTGTGACAAACAAAATATATCATAGAACCAGAGAACTTAAGAATAATGGGAGATCTTTTCAGTCATCAAGCTCAAACCTTTTCTGATGCATGAGTTTCGTTTCTGTTCTGGAAAAGTAGTTGTCCAACCTTTGCTTGAATGTCTCCAGTAAGGCCTGATTCTTACCTGAAAAATGAGGTAATATGATTACTAAGTCCCCTTCAAGTTCTTTTTTTTTTTTGTCCTTTTTTTTTTTGTCCTTTTTGTAGAGAACGGGTCTCGCTATATTACCCAGGCAGGTCTCGAACTCCTGGGCTCAAGCTATCCTCCCGCCTCTGCCTCCCTGAGAACTGGGATTACAGGCATGAGCCACCGCGCCCGGCTCCTTCAAGTTCTAATAGTCTTTTCAATGAAATGTAAACTTCTATTGGCTAATTTTTTTTTTTTAAGTTTCTTCCTTTTTAGTAAGTGAAATTAGTTTCCTCTAGTCTGAGGTTACAATTCTTTGGCATATGTGTTACTATTAAAAAAAATACTTAATGTCATGCTATCCTTATTTGTCCAGGTATAAGTATACATTACACTTCCCTTATGATTTTCCTACTAATTCTGGGAGGGATGGTTCAGAAATCTTAAGAAACTTACATGAGGTCACTTATACAGATAGTAACTGGGCAGCTGCAGCCTAACTAAGGTGTTTGGACTTCAAAATCCAGTATTTTCCCCATTGCACCTATAAAATGACCTATTTAAGACCTATGAAATGTCTTATAAGCTATTATGGCATATATCATCTATCTAAAAATATTTTCCAAATAGCCAAATATATGTTATAAGCTAAGTGACTGACCAGGTGCAGTGGCTCAATCCCAGCATTTTGGGAGGCTGAGTTGGGTGGACAGCTTGAGCCCATAAGTTCTACACCAGCCTGGGCAAAATGGCAAAACCCCATCTCTACCAAAAATACAAAAATGAGCCAGCATGGTGGTGTGTGCCTGTAGTCCCAGCTACTCAGGAGGCTGAGGCAGGAGGATCACTTGAGCCCAGGAGCTCGAGGCTGCAGTGAACCATGATCAAGCCACTGCTCTCTTGCCTGGGTGACAGATCAAGAGACCCTGTCTCAAAGAAAAAAAGTATAAGCTAAGTCATAAAACCTAGCATCACAAACATGGGTGCCAACATTAGGTGTTTCCTGGTGAGATGCAGTAAGATAGCATCACCTATGTGGTATTCTGGCCAAAAGTTTGATACGCTCTAATCATGAGGGAATAATTAGGAAAATCTACAACATGGAACAATTTGTAAGACAACCTGACTGGTCTTTTGAAAAGTATCAGTCATAAAGAAAAGGGGTTGAGAGGGCTGATTTGGGGTAAGAAAATAAAGCCAGGCACGATGGTTCATGCATGTAATCCCAGCACTTTGGGAGGCCGAGGTAGGCAGATCACATGCGGTCAGGAGTTCCAGACGAGCCTGGCCAACATGGTGAAACCCCATCTTAATAAAAACACAAAAATTAGCTGGGCGGAGTGGCGGGTGCCTGTAATCCCAGCTATTTGGGAGGCTGAGGCAGAAGAATCGCTTGAACCCGGGAGGCAGAGGTTGCAGTGAGCTGAGATTGTGCCACCGCCCTCCAGCCTTTGCAACAAAGATCCATCTCAAAAAAAAACAACAAAAAAAACAAACACACAAAGGAAAGAAAATAAGCCTGGGCAATAAGGCAAGACCTAGTCTCTACCAAAAAGTAAAAAATTAGCCAGTGTGGTAGCAAGTGCTTGTAGTCCTAGGTACTCAGGAGGCTGAGACAGGAGGATTGCCTGAGCTCAGGAGTTCAAGGCTGCAGTGAGCTATGATCATGACAGAGCAAGACCCAGTCTCTGGGCGGGGGGTGGGGGTGGGGGGTGGGGGCGCAGGGGTTGGGGGAAGAGGAACTAAAGAGTCATGACAAAGAGCTGTAAGATCCAAATTAAGTTGTCATTTTAATAATTCAGAGTGCCTACACTCAGATCTTAGGTCACTGTTTCTTTCAAATAAGTATCACCTAGAAAGTAAGAGTTAAACTATCTCCAAGGTCTCTGGCAGCTGTGACATTGTAGTTCTTTCAGTACACTCATAATATGCAATAAATTGTGAACAAACAGGTACCAGCTATGAGCCCAATTAAGAAGGGAAAATGTAACTAAAATAAAAAGTAATGGCTGGGCGCGGTGGCTCACGTCTGTAATTACCAGCACTTTGGGAGGCCGAGGCTGGTGGATCACCAAGTCAAGAGTTCGAGACCAGCCTGGCCACCATGGTGAAACCCCGTCTCTAATAAAAATACAAAAAAAATTAGCTGGGCATGGTGGCGGGCGCCTGTAATCCCAGCTACTCAGGAGGTCTGAGGCAGAAAAATCTCTTGAACCTGAGAGGCGGAGGTTGCAGTGGGCCAAGATCGCGCCACTGCAATCCAGCCTGTGCGACAGAGCAAGACTTTGTCTCAAAAAAAAACCCCCTCATTAATTAGAGAAACTCAGCAAGGTACAAATAATTAAAAGGTTCTTTAACGCTGAGCCCTTACAGTTTTTTTTTGAGACAGCCTTGCTCTCTCACTCAGGCTGGAGCGCAACGGCGCGATCTCGGCTCACTGCAACCTCCACCTGCCGGGTTCAAGCAATTCTCCTGCCTCAGCCTCCTGAGTAGCTGGGACTACAGGCGCGCGCCACCATGCCCAGTTAATTTTTTGTATTTTCATTAGAAACGGAGTTTCACCATGCTGGCCAGGCTGATCTTGAACCCCTGACCTCAGGTGATCCGCCCGCCTTGGCCTCCCAAAGTACTGGGATTACAGGCGTGAGCTACCGCGCTCGGACCTGAAATTCCATTTTAAGTCTAGACTTCTATGAAACTAGATCGCCGAGATGTAACAGAAATAAAATTCGTCATTTAGCTTTTAGATCGGATTACATTTTTTGCTTTGATTATTCTAAAGCCTCTAGTAAGGCATAAAGGGAAAACTCTAAGTAGCGCATGCTGGGAAATGAACAGATCAGGTAAGGGCTGTTAGACCTGGTATGTCTAGAGACGATTTTCATTTAAAGGAGGATCATCCACCGGGCAGCTCAAGGTCACAGCGTAAATATCTTATAGTCTAATTCAGTGTCCCAAAACAAGACCCCCGACTCCCCAGATCCAGGTTGGGGGTGGCTCAGGGCCTAAAGTTCCTACCCTCGCCCAGGTGACACCATCCCCAGGAAGGTCTGCACCGGACCTGGCGAAGCGCTGTCCCGCTTCGCACCCCCCACTGCCCCAAGTACATGCGCCGGCCTCCTCGGGAGACCCCGCCAATTTTCTGGAGCGTAGCCTGCCACCCCCCGCCCGGGAATCCGGGATTCTCACGGCAGAGAACAGGCACCATACTTAAGCACAGGCTCTCGCATCCGACATCAGTGCAAGGCTGGGGGGCGTTGGGGGACGGCTGAGCCTCGGGAGGGCGGGTCAGGGTCAGGACAGGAGCCGCGGCCGCCAGATGGGAAAGAACACGTGGGAGCAGTGATGTCAAGTGACACTTAAACCCTTAGACGCCGATTCGTTATAACGAGAGGAAATCTAGAAGAAAATGCACGTACCATCAGCGAATTCTAAAATCTGCTAAGGATTGATCTCTGTGATTGTCTGCTTAGACAATGCTTTCTATTCCCGACTTCCTCTCCAATAACGACCCGAATCTGTCGAAATTATTTGGAAGCCTAATTTACCTAATCCCACGTCCCTAACGGTCTTCGGAAGCGAAGCAGTGTAAACAGCCCCCGATAAACACAAGTAGTATTACAAGTCGGGAGCTCTTCAAGTTTCAGATGAGACTGTAGCGCGATCTTGTGCGGCAATGTGCTACCTTTAAATAAATGAATGAATGAATGAATGAATGAATGAATAAATAAATAAATAAGCCTCCGTTATGTCCGGAGTTTGTTTCCGCCCGGAGAGGGATGGAAGAGCACCAGCGAGCGCTTAGGTTTCTGGTTGGATGTTTTGGGTGAGTTTGTTGGCGCGCATGCGTGTTGTGTCTCAAGGGCGGGTTTGAAGGGAAGTGGGTGTTGACCTGCGGGCAACTGAAGTTATTGTCAGATTATACCCGTGACTGCGCGGGTTTCTGGCGTCCTGGAGACACGTAGGGATGAATTTATGTTTCCGACGATTGCATCTGGAGGGGTGTGTAAGACTCTGTGGCTGAAGAAAGCTATTACGCTTCTTATGTGGGTCATTATTTTAAAAATAGCATTTCAGTTTTATCTGCTTGACTGCCTCTTAACAAATTTTAAGCCCTCCTCTACATCTGTTTGGTTTTGCCCTACCAGCTCTGGGATTGGGGAGTGCACTGTTAATGGTTATTGTTGCTCCTGTGGCCATTCTCTTGGCATCCCCACTTTCACATTTTGGCGTGGTGTATTAATAGACTAAGTGGGATTAATGGGTAAATAGGACTTTATAGTCATCTCTAATCCTGGATTCAATACCAAAATTTAGATTTTCAGCTTTGTGGATGTTCTATTTCGACATTTTAAGAACAGTTCATTGCAAAGAGGTGAAAATTTTGTTCTGAAGTCTTAAGGACACAGAGAAAGTTTTTCCGTCCATAAGTGTGGGACTTGTTTTGTGACCAACAATATGAAAGGCTCTGAGGTCAGCTTGGAGAAGAAAAAAAGGATTAAGATGCCAGCGAAGAGACTTCGTGAGGTAGTTTCTCAAAATCATGGAGATCATTTGGTTTTGCTGAAAGATGAGTTGCCCTGTGTTCCTCCGGCATTGTCTGCAAATAAACGTCTTCCTGTTGGAACGGGGACTAGCTTGAATGGAACATCATGTGGTACGTGATTCCATGTAATTTTTCAAACAGTTTTAGCTTAGTAAATCTTTAGTCCTTATTTGTTTAAATTCCCAGACGTAAGATATAAGTCTAGTTTGTACAGATGTTTGAAAACTGACCCTGTTTCCCGGGAAAATGGCCAGGAAGCCTATAAAATGTTTGAATAGATCTAATGAATGAAACTTTAACGTCTCCTGTTGTGCTTTTTTTTTTTTTTTTTTTGGCATTGACTTTTGCATATTGTTTTTGTTTATATCTATGGTGGGTACACTTAACTTGTATAATGTGCTTTATTTTCCCCCCTAGTGTTTTTTATAGTTTTCCCCCGAAGTAGTACTTTTTACCTAATGCACTACTTTCTGTTAATAGTGGGAAAAGCAGGACTTCTGCCAGTTGATGGCTTCTGTATTCCAGTTCACTTAATCTGTCTAAACCTCAGTGAAAATAAGGATAACATATGCTTTACCCACTTCGCTGCTAATTGTGAGGATCAAATTAATGAATATGTGAGCAAAAACAGCAAAATGCTTTTATAATGCTGCTTGTTAGGGGATACAGCGGTGACACTCAAATAGTCCTGCTGTTAAATTAGACCTTTACATCGTATACGTATTTCTACCCATAGATTGTCCACATCCAATAGTGTATGGTTATCTTTTAAAATATTTCATGCTTATCTCACTTTATTGTCAGTACCGAACCTTATTTTCCCAAATATCAACTGTAAAAGCCTTCATTCAGATATGTTTAAATACATTTTCTTAACTTTCTTTGCACGCAAATTGTCCTTCCAACGTCTGCATTATATGGAGTTTATAGGTCTTGAATCATGCCTATACAGTTTCTAAAGCTAAGGACCTGATTTTAAAATCACTAAAATCTATTCCTTTGTTTTGTTAGGTTCATCAGACTTAACTTCTGCTAGAAATTGTCACCAGCCTCTAAAAGAAAATCCCATGGTGTCAGAAAGTGTAAGCAAAAGGATTCTTAATTATGCTCACATTAAAATTTTCAGTGTTGTCAAATAATGTATTCTTAAATTATGTTTGATTAGCAACATGCCTTGTTTTTATTTAAATATCACTTACCAGACCAATGTTTTATATACTACAATTGTGACTTTGAATGGTGTTTGAGACATTAAACAAAAGGCCTTCCCTAGAATCAAAAATACCGATTATTAAAATAATGGCCGCTGAAAGAGATATGATAACTGAAAAGAAGCTCTCTTACTATTCAGGGAAAAGGTGTTCTTGCCCAGAGACTTAACATATTTTTAGGTAAAAGAAAAGGAACAACTAACAGTACAATTTTCTTTAACATGAGGTGTGCTTGCATGTCATTCTAACACTTGTAAGGTGTTTTGGTTTTTTTAGAAGAGAGGTTCTTTAAGAATAACATGAAATTATCATCTTAACTTTACAATGCCGAACGTATTTGATAAATATAATGTTTTGGTTATGAGATCTAATTAGACTTTGATAGCTAATCATAGTGTTGACCTATGTATTGTCAGTTTAATAAGTCTGTATAATGAGAGTTTCACAATATACTATTTTGAAAATTGAAGCAGGTAAACTAATAATTCAATTAAAGCTATATGACAATTTTGTCAAAAGCTCACAATTTATACATTTTGTATAATTTTGTGCTGTACTTGGTCCCTATGTAAATGCCTAGACTTTGGAGTGGTTTTTTGTTATTGTTGTTTTGTCTTTTTTTTTTTTTTCTTTTAAGCAGGCCTTATTTAATGATATCTAAACTTTTCAAATGTATGGATACACTGTTATTGTATAATTGAGGATAAATCTGTGATCTTCATGATATTGTGCCATCCTTATCTACTCCATTTGACTCACAGTGAGTCAGATTTTTACGTTTCACTGAAGCAACTGAGATGTTAAATGACTTGCTCTGCTAGAATTGGTATACTGGTTTGAGTCTGAATCTCAGTGCTACATTTGCTTGCTGCTTCATTTACTCATTCATTTGCTTGTCTGATAGTGTGTTACTCACCCATTCAACAAATCTTTGAGTAGCTTTAAGGTATATCAGCATTGCGTGGTGATGGAAATGAAGCATATGAAATACACAGTCCTGCCCTCCCAGAACACAGTAGTCACATAGCTAGTAAATGGTTCTTGATAAATAATAAATCCGAAGTTTATTTATCCTATTTCTTCCTTTCATATCCCAAAGGATTTTTCTAAAGACGTTGCAGTGCAAGTGTTGCCTTTGGATAAAATAGAAGAGAACAACAAACAAAAAGGTAAAAGAATAATATTGATTTTTTTATTGTTATAAAATATACTTAACATAAAGTTTACCACTTTAGCTATTTTAAAATGTACAGTTCTGTGACGGTAAGTACATTCACATTGTTGTACAATCATCATCACCTTTCATATCCAGAGCTTTGTCATCTCTCCCGATTCTACCCATTAAACACTAACTGCTCATTTTTCGTCCCCTCAGCCCTGGGCATCCTACTTTTTGTCTCTATGAATTTGACTACCCTAAGTGCCTTATATAAGTAGAATCATATAGTATTTGACCTTTTGTGACTGGCTTATTTCACTTAGCATAATGTTTTCAAGGTTCATCCATGTTGTAGCATGTGTCAGAATTTTCTTCTTAAGGGTAGAATTTATTTTTAAGCATTTATTACATAGTCTTACAGTTTTTATTATTTTCATTTTTAATTAGTTTTTCTTCCCAAATTAAGCCATTCCTAGAATCTGTAAAATCCAGAATAAGGTTTGCAATGGTGAAGGTTATCTTGTTATTACCAATCTATTGCATAGGTTTAGTATTATATATGTTTATAAATTTTTTTTTTTTGAGACAGAGTCTCCCTCTGTTGTCCAGGCTGGAGTGCAGTGGCGTGATCTCGGCTCACTGCAACCTCCGGCTCCCAGATTCAAGCAATTCTTCTGCCTTAGCCTCCTGAGTAGCTGGGATTACAGGTGCACGCCACCACACCCAGCTAGTTTTTGTTTTTTGTTTTTTTTTTTTGTAGAGATAGGGTTTCACCATCTTGACCAGGCTGGTCTCAAACTCCTGACGTCAAGTGATTTGCCTATCTCAGCCTCCTAAAGTGCTGGAAATACAGGGCCACCGTGTCTGACCCCATATGAATTTTAAAATAGTTTTTTCTAATTCTTTGAAAAATGATGTTGGTAATTCGATTGAATTGAATCTGTAGATGTCTTTGGGCAGTATGCTCATTTTAATGATACTGATTTTTCTAATTCATGAGCATGGAATGTTTTCCACTTGTTTGTGTCATCTGTGATTTTTTTTCATCAGTGTTTTGTAGTTCTCCTTGTAGAGATCTTTCACCTTCTGGATTAAATGTATTCCTAGGAATTTTATGTTTTGTGTGCCACTATTGTAAATGGCATTGAGTTCTTGATTTGATTCTCAGCTTGAACATTATTAGTGTATAGAAACGCTACTGATTTTTGTACATTGATTTTGTATCCTGAAACTTTATGTAAGTCATTTATCAGATCTAGGGGCATTTTGGAGGAATCTTTAGGGTTTTCTAAGTATAGGACCATGTCATCAGTGAACAGAGATAATTGGACTTCCTCTTTTACTTTTTAGATGCCTTTTATTTCTTTCTCTGTCTGATTGCTCTGGCTGGGACTTCCACTACTGTGTTGAAAAGAGTGGTGAGAGTGGGCATCCTTGTCTTGTCCTAGTTCTTAGGGGGAATGTGTTCAACTTTTGCCCATTCAGTATGATGTTGGCTGTGGGTTTGGAATTATGAGGATTATATTATTACTTAATCACTTAATTTGTTCCTTGTCCTTTTCAATTGTGGAGTGCTATGGCTGAGTTCCTAAACATTCTTTTAGTTAAAAAAGATTTTTTTAGTAGCTTATTAAAATTTAACAAATATTCAGGAATTTAATATATATTTTTGTGTCTTGATTCTGCAGCAAATGACATCTTCATTTCTCAGTATACAGTGGGACAGAAAGATGCTCTCAGAACAGTTTTAAAGCAAAAGTAAGTTTCATTTACAGAAAATAATTGGACCATTTCTTATGTTTAAAATCAGCTTCATTTGTACTTTGGACATATGAAAAACTGTCTTTTCACTATGTGAAATATATATTGTGTGATGATATGTATAAAGTGTTTCTCATGGTGCTAGACACATTTAAAATACTCAGTAGCAGTTAGCAGTTGTTATTATGGAAGTGCTATGGTATTAACTCATTTAACACACCTATAAAATAGATTTCATTACTATCCCAATTTTATAGAATCCCCATTTTCTTTTATTTATTTATTTATTTAGAGATGGAGTCTCACATCACCCAGGCTGGAGTGCAGTGGCATGATCTCGGCTCACTGCAACCTCCGCCTCCCAGCTTCAAGGGATTCTCCTGCCTCAGTCTCCCGAGTAGCTGGGATTACAGGCACCTGCCATTATGCTGAGCTAATTTTTGTATATTTCTAGAGATGGGGTTTCACCATGTTGGCCAGGCTGGTCTTGAACTCCTGGCCTCAGGTGATTCACCTGCCTCAGCCCCCAAAGTGCTAGGGTTACAGGAGTGAGCCACCATGCCCGGCCAGAATCCCCATTTTATAGATAAGGAAACTAAGGCATTGGGAGATTGAGAGATTGATTTTCCCAAGGTCCAGGTTGTTACTGGACTGGGATTTGAATGTGCAAGTCTGCCTTTAGAGCCATCTCTCTTAACCACTTTACTATACTGCTTATAGCAGTGCTCAATAGTTCCTTATACATAATACTTATTATTTATTATCCGAAGACATTTAGACTTTTCCTGGTCAAAATCTCAGAAAGAGATGAGTTTAGCACCTGGATGCAGTGAAGAGAGACCATGGTTACTCCACCTAAATGCCCCCTCCCAACTTTATCTTAAATACCAATGAAATCTAAAACTAACCTTGACAACAGCACATGAGAAACATGAAGGAAGAACAAATTCACTAGTCTGGAGGCAATTAATATTATCTTTATCATATTCCTAGGCTACATGTATTCTACTCCTGAACCAGAGCACTGCAGAAGGCCCCTTAGGAAATAGAAAAAAATTTTACTTACTTTTGAATTCTCATTTTATTCAAAAGGAAATTATATATTAGTTCTGCAAATGGAAAATCTGTATTGTTTAGAATACGTTTAAAAATAAATATACAGGCCAGGTGTGGTGGCTCACACCTATAATCCCAGCATTTTGGGAGGCTGAAGTGAGTGGATCACTTGAGCCCAGGAGTTTGAGACCAGCCTGGACAACACGGCAAAACCCCATCTGTACCCAAAAAAATACAAAAATTAGCCAGGCATGGTGGCATGCACCTGTAATCCCAATAACTTGGGAGGCAGGAGGTAGGAGGATTTCTTGAGCCTGGGAGGCAGAGCATGGTGCAGTGAGCTGAGATGGTGCCACTTGCACCACTGCACTCCAGCCTGGGCAACAGAGCTAGACCTGTCTCAAATAAATTAGTTAAATAACTATACAACTATTAAAATACAACATTTATTCTTTTTCCACCAACAGTTTTCCATGGTATACATATTATGTTCTGGGAAGCACCGGAATAACAAAAAAAATAATACTACCCCTAAATTGCAAAGGTATAATCTGAGCCAGCCAGAGTTTCACAGCGGGTTCTTTGGTCCTATCAGGTTTTTACTTCTTATATTTGTTCACACTAAAATTCTCAATACATAATATAGCAGTTAGGAGAGGCATTTGGATGGTAAATTATATCAGAAGGTTTCTAAATATATAAGAAAAAGCCCTAGTGATGGCATGGTCTTATCTGTCATCTTCTCTACTTGAACTAAAAATTGCAGATTACATCTGACTCAGTTGGATAGAAAGCAATCACCACTTCTATCCAGCAGACCCTTAGTGGACGAAGTAGCTGCTTGCAACCACAATAGGGACTTTATAAACTTCCCTTCCAGTCAGAACTCTCAGAACTAAAATATCTCAGAACTTTCAAATCTGAGAGGGAGAAGTTGTTAATAAACAGGACAGTGAGAGAAAATTGCAAACACTGCCTCTTTTATCTGTTGCTAGATCTCTCCCTAAGGATGAATGAACGTAATTTTTTTTTTTTTTTTGAGATAGAGTCTTGCACTGTCACCCAGGCTGGAGTGCAGTGGCGCAGTCTGGGCTCACTGCAACCTCCCCGTCCCAGGTTCACGCCGTTCTCCTGCCTCAGCCTCCTGAGTAGCTGGGACTACAGGTGCCCGCCACCATGCCTGGCTAATTTTTTGCATTTTTAGTAGAGATGGGGTTTCACTGTGTTAGCCAGGATGGTCTCGATCTCCTGACTTCATGATCTGCCTGCCTCAGCCTCCCAAAGTGTTGGGATTACAGGCGTGAGCCACCGTGCCCGACCCTGAACAGAATTTTTTAAAAGACAAAACAACTAAGGAGGCTCTATGGGAAAGTAATTACAATGTAGAGAATAATAACTGAATCAAACTATAGAAATGACTCTCATGTCTAATTATGTCCCAAGAGATATACCTTTAAAATGAAGCAGGCTGAAAATAAAAATACAACAAAAGTATTTTGAGGAGAAAACAGATAAAAAGAAATAAGAATTAGCAATATTAATTCTAGTTGAAGTAAAATTCAAGGCATATCTGCTAAATAGACTAAATAGGACCAATTTTTTGGGCAAAGTTAATTTTTTAGTTAGTTTTAAAAATCTTTAATGTAGCCAGGTGCGGTGACTCACGCCTGTAATCACAGCACTTTGGGAGGCTGAGGCAGGCAGATCACCAGTTCAGGAGATCGAGATCAGCCTGGCCAACACAGCGAAACCCCGTCTCTACTAAAAATACAAAAAATTAGCTGGGCTTGGTGGCATGTACCTGTAGTCCCAACTACTCGGGAGGCTGAGGCAGGAGAGTCACTTGAACCTGGGAGGCAGAGGTTGCAGTGAGCAGAGATTGTGCCACTATACTCCAGCTTGGGGGACAGAGTGGGACTCTGTCTCAAAAACAGAACAAAACAAAAAATAAATAATAAATGTAAAGAGTTTTAAAAAATCAAATACTATGAAAAGCTTATAATGAAAAACCACCATCTTCTACCCCACTATTTCCTTAACCACTAGGCCTATTCCCCAGTGGCAGCCGCTTTTAATTCTTTTACCTCTTTCCTCTGAGAGGTGATTTCATAAATCAAAGTAATATGCTTACAGTACTATTTTTGGTTTATGAAATTTAAGTCAAGCACAGTGGCACATACCTGCAATCCTCTCTACTTGAGAGACTGAGGCAGGAGGGTCGCTTGAGCTCAGGAGTTTCTATACAGCTGGGGCAACATGGTGAGACCCCCTTCTCTTAAAAAAAAAATCTGTCTATACTGGGTTGTGAAAAAATACAAAAAACAACAACAACGAATAAACGTAGACTGCACTTACTCTACTATGATAAGCTTTAGCTGTCTTAAGTTACTTTTTCTCCCTTTCTCTAATTATAATTACTCTGTATTGATTTATATAACAGCCGTAAACGTAAAAAACTTTTTTACTTTATAAAGTTCAATGTTTACAGAAGTAGAGAGGATAATTTTTTGAACTCCCATGTTCTCATAGCTTAGCTTCAATTATTAGCATTTTGTTTCATTCATAACCGCCCCGCATACCCATGAATTATTATAAAACAAATCCCAGAAGTCATTTCATTTTATCTTTACATATTTTAATATACGTACCTGAAAGATAATTGTTTAAAAAGGTATTGCCATAATGCTACTATCATACTGAAACATAATAATTAATAATTTCTTAATATTATAAAATATTGAGTCAGTATTCAAGTTTCTGTCACTGTCTCATAATTTTTTTGTGGTTACTTTTTGTTTTGTTTTGGGATTGGTTTTTGTTTTTGTTTTTTGAGACAAGGTTTCAAACTCTTATCACCCACAGTGGAGTGCGGTGACGTGATTGTAGTTCACTGCAACCTCAAACTTCAGGCTCAGGCAGTCTTCCTCCCTCGGCCTCCTGAGTAGCTGGGACTACAGGTATGCACCACCATGCCTGGCTAATTTTTTTTTTTTTTTTTTTTTAATGTTTTGTAGAGACTGGCCTCACGGTGTTGCCCAGGCTGGTCTCGAACTGCTGGGCTCCAGTGATCCACAGCCTTGGCCACCCAAAGTGCTGGGATTACAGGCATGAGCCACGGCACCCTGTGGTTAATTTAATTTTGCATTAGAATCTAAGGAAGAGCCACACTTTACATTTGAATGATATGTCTCTTAAGTTGTTTTTTTTTTTTTTTTTTTTTTTTAAGACAAAGTCTCACTCTGTTGCCTAGGCTGGAGTGCAGTGATGCAATCTTGGCTCACTGCAACTTCCACCTCCTGGGTTCAAACAATTCTCCTGCCTCAGCCTCCTGAGTAGCTGGGATTACAGGCATGCACTACCATGCCTAGCTATTTTTTTGTAGTTTTAGTAGAGACGAGGTTTCACCATGTTGATTAGGCTGGTCTCAAACTCCTGACCTCAGGTGATCCCGCCCACCTCGGCCTCCCAAAGTGCTGGGATTACAGGTGTGAGCTACCATGCTGAGCCTTCAGTTTGTTTTAATTTACAGATTTACCCTCACTTTGTTTTTCTTATAATTTATTTGTCTTAAGAAATTTTCTACCTTCTGGATTTTGCTGAATGTATCCTTTTTTTGTCTTTAATATGTTTCTCTCAACCTTGAATTTCTGTCAAGTGGCAAGAATGCTTGATAGGTGATGTTGTATACTTCCTGTGTAATACATCAGGATACATAGATGTCTGATTATATCTCTTATTGTGAAATTAGGATTGATCTGTTAATACACCACCTTTTTGTATCAGATTACAGCATATGGAAATTTGAGGACAGAGTCTAAACAGTCAATTTTAGAAATTTAGCAGGAAAATAATTTCTTATAAAAGCTAAAGGAAGCTGGGCATGGTGTGTCATGCCTGTAGTCTTAGCACTTTGGGAGTCCAAGACAGGAGGATTACTTGAG